CTTGAATTTATAATCCTCCTGTCTCAGCCTCCTGAGTAGCTGGGGTTACAGGGGTGCACCAACATACCCAGCCGCTTCCTGCTTCTTGCACCCCATTTCTGCCAAACTGAAAGGTGCTCCTCTACCTCTCGGACCTCTTCTGTTCCTCCCATCTGTCCTGCCCTGCTCCCCAAGCCCCTTTTCCTCAACTGCACCAAGACTTTACATCCCGAGATGATAATGCTCACCATTTTTTTTCCAGACAGCCTTCCCTTGACCATCTCCTTACCCCCCATCCACGAGAGGGCCCCTTCCCCAGAATCTCTGCTTCCCTTTCTCATTGGTCTGGATTATGAGGTTTTTCTAGGATAGAAGCCAGCAGTGTTTATTTCTATATGGCTAGAACATATTATTTCAGAGGACTCTGGATCATTGTGCTGAAGGTCAACTCTATTTTATAAATAAAGGGTTTTTATTTTTGTTTTTGTGCCTCTCAGTCTCCTTATTTTTCAGTCTCAGCTGCAGCAGCAGGGACCAGTGACAAAGTTAAAATACTTTCTTTTTTCCTTTTTACTTATGATTTGTTTGTTTTTTGGTACTGGGGATTGAATTCAGGGGCACTCGACCACTGAGCCACATCCCCAGCCCTATTTTGTATTTTATTTAGAGACAGGGTCTCACTGAGTTGCTTAGCACCTTGCTTTTGCTGAAGCTGGCTCTGAACTCACAATTCTCCTGTCTTAGCTTCCCAAGCCCCTGGGATTACAGGCATGCACCACCGTGCCTAGCCGACAAAGTTGAATACTTTCTAACTGAAAGTATACGTTTAAATGATGCAGCTTGGACTGGTGTTGTGGCTCAGTGGTGGAGCACTTGCCTAGCACAGGTGAGGCACTGGGTTCAATCCTCAGCAGTGCATATAAATAAATAAGTAAAATAAAGGTCTATTGATAACTAAAAATATATATATTTTTAAAAAAAATCATGGAACTCAATTCTATGAATTGGCCCTGAGGCAATCTGGTTTTCAGGAAACTGATCTTTGAAACTGATCTTTGGATAATTGGCATTCAGAAGATTGGCCTATTCTTGCATAGTGTCTGGGACATAGTAGACACACAATAAAATTAGTTGTTACACTGCTCTTGTAATCAATGGTAGTTTGATAAATGTTTTCGAATAAATCAAGGTCATTTGTGCACTCTGGTTTAAAATCATGAACAAACAAAAGAAAGAAAGAAATTATTGCCCTTCCCTCTCTTAAAACAGTCTTCCCTTCTCAAGCTACAAAAATCTTCCTCATTCTTCAAGGCCAAGTTCCAAAGCCACCTCCTCTAGGAAGCCACCTCAGTCCTGCAGGCCAAGGTCATACCTTCAGAGCCTCAGGGAGCGGGTAATCTGTTTTGGGAAAGTGGGAGTTGGCTGCTTGCAGGAAGTGCCATTGAGTGGAAGTGTGAAGGATGAAGAGGATTTCACCAGGTAGAGGTGGACAGAGGGCAACCCAGGCAGAACCGACGACACGGTAAGAAGAGCATTCAAGGACTGAGAGGCCAGAGTGGGACAGAAGGCCTGGCTTGTGACTGGGGTGCCAGGGAAGGTTGTGATGCCACTCAGAGCAACAGAACTCAAGGGAGTCCCTCACTTCCTGAGCGGGATGAAGACAAGAAGCCCCAGAAGGAGCAGCTGGAGTGGGAGAGTTCAGCACCTTTCAACCTCTCTCTGTCCCCGCCCGCCAGACTTTCAAGCGCCCTAGCACACAGCAGCCTCCTGACCTTGTATGAAGTCCCAAATATTGCACTTCTCTCCCGAGAGGCGGATCACAGGGCAGTTTGGGGCTAGACCCCCCAGCTCAGCCTTGTCCTCCAGTCGCTGCCAACGGACCTTCAAGACGAACCAGAAATACTGGATGCTGAAGAAGGTCGGGACCCAGTTGTCAGGGGAAAATTGGGGGTTTCTGGTCATACCAGTCTTCTGGCCCATGGCCAAGATATTCTGCGTGGCTCTTTCTGGAAACAGTGTCATTAACACTTTGCCCATGGCCACCTCTACAATCACCAATAAGAGAATCCATAATTTCTTTAGCCATAGGCCTGGCCGGAGCAGCCCCATCTCGGCACAGCCAGAATTGGCTCTGAGGCTGATGGACCCAGAGGCTGCAGCCAGATGACACTGGGCGGAGCTGGACAAAGGTACAGAGTCAGAGCAGCCAACTCCAGGCAAGAGGAAGGTGCCGTGGCAGAAGGTATTTGCTTTCCCGTCAATAAAGTGGAAAATTCCCAGCCAGGAATACAAAGGTCTGTTCTCATTCTTATTGTTTCAGATTCTTTGCCTTAGTTTTTGAGAGATTCGTGGATTTTAAATTCTCCCTTTGATTAATTTTTAAAATATATATATTTTTTATAGATGGAGACAATGCCTTTACTTTATTTTTATGTGGTGCTGAGGATTGAACCCAGTGCCTCACAAGCGCTCTAGTGTTGAGCTACACTTGCAGCCCCTTCCTTTGATTAATTTTTTAAAACAAATCCTTAAAAAGATCCACACTTAAACCTTCCCCACTAAAAGATCTATTGCAAATGAATAACTTCTAATGTTAATTATTCTTTTAACAATATAAATAGTTCTTTTACTAGTGAAAGGTGGTTTCCCACTCTTTGCAGAGGCAAAGTCCCTTCCCAGAGGTTTTGGATCTGGACCTCCCAGGCAGTGACATCTCTGGGGCCATCAGCAGTTAAGGGCCTGCAACTCCTCTTAGCACTGGGAGAAGAGAGTCAGGTAAAACTCTCTGCTCTCAGGGAAGTCATAGTCTAGCGCAGGAAAGACAAGTAAACAGAAAATTGCCATTTAGTATATTAAGTAGAGAGACAGGATGCGTAGGGACATAGGGGTATGGAGAAGTGGCAGCTTATTCTGTATAGAGAGGTCACGAGGCTTCCATGAGGAACTGATGTCTATGCTGCAATCAGAAAGACAGTGAGCTGTCAGCCAGGCAAAGTGGAGGGAACTGCATGGTCAAGGCCTCACAGCCAGAGCAAGCATGACTCAGAGAGGCTAAGAGTTGGAGAGTGTTTAAAAACACATCTAGAGGGCCAGGCATGGTGGTGCACATCTGTAATCCAAGCAGCCTGGGAGGCTGAGGCAGGAGGATCGAGAGTTCAAAGCCAGCCTCAGCAAAAGAGAGATCCTAAGCTACTCAGTGAGACCCTGTCTCTAAATAAAATACAAAACACGATTGGGGATGTGGCTCAGTGGTCCAGTGCCTCTGAGTTCAATCCCTGGTCTCCCCACCCCCAGCAAAAAATGCACATCAAGAAAGAAAAAGTGGTCTGACTAAGCCTGTTCCTGTATTACATAATCCCTATGGTATTCGTTCACAAAGCTTTAGCTATTCGTCTCTGGCATTTATATACCTAAATACTCTCTGTTAGTAAGAGTGGTGCTGGGGATTGAACCCAGGGCCTTATGCATGAGAGGCAGGCACTCTACCAACTGAAGGATGACAGGAAAGCTAGCACCAAAAGGTGTCAGCCTTGGCTCTAGGGTCCAGTAGGTATTAATTTTATTAATTAACTTTATTTAGGAAGTGAGGGATAAAAAGACCCTTCAAAATATGTTTCATTTTAGAGCTCTTCACAGCAAATACCACATATGTTGCTCAGTATTGAAGAGTACAGCTCCTATCTCTTCAAGCTCGTACCAAGAACCCCTGCATCCCTGAGATTGCTAAGGTTTTGGTTTTATAATGGGATTTTTATTTTTGTACTGCGTTCTTATATTCACAGCAAAATTGAACAGAAAATATAAGGAGTTCTCACACGTGCACAACCAACCCTGCCCCTTAGCAGCATCCCGCCGAGCCAGAGTGGTACTTTTGTCACAATTGATGAGCTTCCATTGTCACATCATAATCATCTGAAGTCCACAGGTAAAGTTAGAGTTCACTCTTGGTGGTATATAGTCTATACATCTGGACAAATATATAATAACATGTACCCATAATTATAGTATTGTACAGAATAATTTCACTGTCCAAAAATTCACTTGTTCTTCATCTATTCTTCCAGTAAACCCCAGTGCCCTAGCAATCACTATTTTTTTTTTAGTTGTTGATGAACCCTTATTTTTTATTTACCTGTTTATATGCTATGCTGAGATTTGAACCCAGTGTGTTACACATGCTAGGCAAGCGCTCCGCCACTAAGCCTTAACCCCAGCCCGCCAATCACTAATTTTTTACTGCTTCCTTAGTTCTTCTCTTTCTAGGGTGTTATCTAGTGAGAATAATATAGTATAAAGCCTTTTCAGAATGGCTTCTTTTACTTAGTAATTTGCTTTTGAGTTTTCTCCATATCCTTTTATGGCTTGATGGCTCACTTCTTTTTTTTTTTTTTTTTTTAGTTTAGTTTAGTCCACACATGGACACACAATGCTTTTTTATTATATTTATTTATTTTTATGTGGTGCTGAGGATCGAATACAGGCCTCATACGTGTTAGGCAAGCGTTCTACCACTGAGCCACAATCCCAGCCCCCATTTCTTTCTTTTTCTTCTTCTTTCTTTCTTTTTGTTTTTTGGGTGCTGGGGATTGAACCCAGGGCCATATGCATGAAAGGCAGGCACTCTACCAACTGAGCTATATCCCCAGCCCCCCTCATTTCTTTTTAATTCTGAATAATATTCCATTGTCTGGATGTACTACAGTTTATCTGTTCATCTGTTTATCTGTTCATCTGTTCTATTGAAGACGGTGTCTTGGTTGCTCTTAATATTTATCAATTATGAATAAAGCTTCTTATAAAAATCATGTGCAGATTTGGGGGTGGATATAAGTTTTCAACTTATTCAGAAACACCAAGGAGTATGAATTATATGGTAAGAGTATGTTTATTGTTATAAGTAACTGCCTTGCTATTTTCCAGAGTGGTTGGATTTTTTTTTTTCTTTTGATACCAGGACTTGAATCCAGGGGTGCTTTACCACTGAGCCACTTTTTAATATTTTATATAGAGACAGAGTCTCACTGAGTTGTCTGGGGCCTCGATAAATTGCTGAGGCTGGCTTTGAACTTGCAATCCTCCTGCCTCAGCTTCCTGCACTGCTGGGATTACAGGCATGTGCCACAACACCTGGCTAGAGTGGCTGGATTCTTATGTATTCCTCCAACAATGAATTAGAGGGGCTGGGGATGTGGCTCAATTGGTAGCGTGCTCGCCTAGCATGTGTGCAGCTGGGTTCAGTCCTCAGCACTACATACAAACAAAAGATGTTGTGTCCGCCGAAAACTAAAACAATAAATATTAAAATTCTCTCTCTCTCTCTCTTTAAAAAAAACAACAACAATGAATTAGAGTTTTTTTTTTTTAAAAAAATATATATATTTAGTTATAGATGGACACAGTATCTTTATCTTATTTATTTATTTTTATGTGGTGCTGAGGATCAAACCCAGTGCCTCACGCGTGGGAGGCAAGTGCTCCACCACTGAGCCACAACCCCAGCCCCTGAATTAAGAGTTTCTATAGTTGCACAGCTTTGCCAATATTTATAATTAATTTTAACCTGTAATTCATCGATGACATTGAGTATCGTATGCGTGTGTGT